AACAAAATGCACAAAGGAAATAATGACCCATCGAAGCCATGGGATGCAGTTCATTATCTTTCATATTACATAAAATACGAGTGAAAAATCCATAAGTAGAAAACACTTTACTATTAACCTCACATTTGTATTCCCCTCATTAGCTGTTACAACTGAACCCTTGTTACTAACATTCTCTTAAATATTTAAGAGAAAAAAATTAAAGTTGTATCTACTTTGTAGCTCTCTTGTTATCTTTAGAAACTTCATATGAGCTGTTCTTCCTTTCAAATGTTTTACCTGAAATGGTTAACTTCTTATTCTGCATTGTATTCACATGAATCTCAGTTTCTTACTAAAGCAAAAATAATATATTTTACTGTCTTAAATTCTTTTTTATGAGAGAGATTTTTTGTTATAGGGCACGTGCACTTGCTGGAGAGACAGAGAGACAGAAAATGAGAAATCACCCAACAGGAGGCATGGCCATGCTGTAATCCTTTCTCCTCCATTCTTCTCTCAGGATCTTGGGCACGCATGCATATGTGCCCTGCATGATTTTTAAGCTGTAGGGTCCAGAACTCGAACTAGGGTTGACTACATAAGAGTTCAGCTACATAACCATTATGCCCTCTGCTGGTCCCCATTAAATTCTTTTCTTTTCTTTCCTTTCCTTTCCTTTCCTTTTCTTTTCTTTTCTTTTCTTTTCTTTTCTTTTCTTTTCTTTTCTTTTCTTTTCTTTCTTTCTTTCTTTCTTTCTTTCTTTCTTTCTTTCTTTCTTTCTTTCTTTCTTTCTTTAATTTGGAGAGGGTTTTTGCTATAGGGTACATGCACCCACCAGTCAGAAAGACAGAGAAAGACAGAGAGAAAAAACGCAAGAAACCCCCCCCCCCCCCAGGGGGGATGGCCATACGGCAATACCTTCTCCTCCATTCTCCTCTTGGGATCTTGGGCAAACACGCACACATGCCTGGTGTGAGTTTAAGCGACCAGGTCTGGGACTCGAACTGCAGTCGGCTACATGGAAGTTCAGTGACGTAACCATTATGCCATCTGCTGGTACTGGTCACCATTAAATTCTAAAACATAGTATTTATTTCCTAGGAGAAGCAATATAGTATAGCATTTAAACATTAGGGCTTTAGAGCTAGACTGTGAATTAAACCCCAACGCTAGCATTAACTGGGAGACATTAGGACGAGCTACTTGAACGCCCCCTACGTGTCACTTTTCTCACCTGTCAGTTGAGAATAATAACACCTACAGTCAGATGTAAACCCAGGTCCACTGTATTCCCCCATAGATTAGTACTGCTGACACTCATTTTTGGGGAATTCTATTTATGCACATTCGTTTGCTCATTAAAATGTATTTGTGGGACCAGCAGATAGTGTAATGTTTACATTGCTGTACTGTCATGTAGTCGACCATGGTTCGAGTCCCAGACTCGATGACTTAAACTCACACCAGACATATGTGCATATGTGCCCCAAATCCCAAGAAGAGAATGGAAGAGAAGGGATGGCGGCATGACCATCCTCCCTGGGGAGGGGGCTGATTTCTCACTTTCCGTCTCTCTGTCTCTATCTTTCTGGCAAGCACATGTGCCCTATTGTAAAAACCTCTCTTCCAAAAACAAAATAAAACAAAAAAT